CCCAACACAGCAGCAGTAAGGGACTTTTCGCGCGGGTATTTCCCGCTGCCGGCGCGTTCGGAATAACGCGGGTAAAACCCGTGAATATACGACATCGATCGCGAGTCCCCCTTACTGCTGCTAAGTTAGATACTCTAAAATTGAGTAAATACGAAACAATTACGATTAATTATACTATGAATTACTTATATATATGTAATATTTACACTTCATAAAATTTTAATTCACATTTATGGTAATTCAGTGCGCCTGACAAACATGTTTGTTTTGCTTTAAAGTTGGAAGCCCAATTGAAGTGTCCAAACAAGCAAGCCCAACAGAGGAAGAGGTCAACCGTTTACATGCCAGGTATTTAGAAGAAGTGAAAACACTCTTTAACTCTTTTCGAGACAAATACGGTGTGCCTAAAACAACTCAATTGACGTTTGTTTAAAACCCTTTTCCCCGCACGCATATAATAACTATAAAACGAATATTTTTTAATGTAAAAAATGGGAATATAGTGCTATAATATAATTATAGAATTTAATGTGATGATTGAGAATATTTTCAAATGTAAATATTGAGCACCTTTTGGTTGTTTGATGACTAAGTATCTTAGTTTCTGTAGTATTATATTTTTTACGGCGTAGGGTTGTTTTTCATTTAAATGATAAGAAACGTAATTTTATATCACAATTTTTCTCATAAATTCAATTTCCAAGGTTAGCCATATGAGAAAATAAATGGGTAGTCAATTTAATCGTGGACGCGTATGAAATACTTATTTTTCTCATAAATTCAATTTCCAAGGTTAGCCATATAAGAAAATAAATGGGTAGTCATTTAAACATGGACGTGTATGAAATACTTATTTTATTACAAATTAATTGTATTGCTAATTTTATTTTATTACGCGTATAAAATACTTATTTTTCTCATAAATTCAGTTTCCAAAGTTAGAATAAATGAGTGGTCAATTTAATCATGGACGCGTATGAAATCGTAGGAAATACGTAATATTTTACACTTTTTTCACAAGTCGGGAAAAATATCACATCTCGTCTAGAATCAAGTGAACATCTTTGGGGTCGTTGTATTTCATTTTGTGTTTGTCGAACAAGTCTTTGAGTTCTTGGACGTAAAGTGAATGAAGGTAGTTTATCTGTTCTGGAGTTGGATCATCACGTTTCTGTACGTCTATTGGCGCTCCAACTGATAATAAAATAATACAGGCAGTTGTTCAATGAAGTAAGGAATGACTAGTGGTGGTGGTGATGGTGATGATGATGATGATGGTGATGATGATGGTGATAATGATGGTGATGATGATGATGATGATAATGATGGTGATGATGATGGCGATGATGAGGATGATGATAATGATGGTGATGATGATTATGATGATGATTATGATGATGGTGATGATGACACAAGTCATTAATTCCCTTACCCACAACAGTGATTGGCTTTCTTCTTGGCATCACGCCAAATGTCTCCACGTCACGGAAAGCTAGTAGGCTGTATTTGATGAAAACCTGAGCCCATTTCGATAGGTTGACTTTGTTCTCCAATCTCGAAGGTAAAGCAGATGGCGGTTGGTGGAACATGTCGTTCTGACCAAATGCAAATACAGGGACAAGAGATGATCTGAATGAAAAAGATATTTGTGGACCATTAGTAGTGAAAACTGTGACGATGATGGCGATGCTGATGATGGTAATCATGATATTGATGGTAATGGTGATGTCGGTGATATTTATGATGCTAGCAGCAATAGTTATGCAAATGCGCTGAGACCTACAACTGGCTGTAAATGATAATGATGGTTATGGTAGTGATGATGATGATGATGATGGTGATGATGATTATGATGGTGATAATGATTGTGATGGTGATGATGATTTATGATAGACCAAATTCAAAACTCGCACCGATGTGAGGCTTAAGTTGTGAACAAAGGGATCTGGCGTGACTCAAAGTAATCTGGCGTGATTCAAAAGTCACGAATCACGCCAGATTCCTTTGTTCACAACTTAAGCCTCACATCGGTGCGAGTTTTGAATTTGGTCTATAGTGATGATGATTATGATAGTGATGATGATTATGATGGTGATGATGATTATGATGGTGATGATGATTATGATGCTGATGATGGTTATGATAGCGATACATGATGGTGATGATGATGATAATGCAAGATGATGATTATGACGATGATGCGCGCGCCGCCTATCACAACGGTGGCCGTAGGTTCGATTTTATGTGAGTAGAATTGTTTTTTTGGGGCTCTATTGCGTGCTTCGATCGAACCAGGATTTCTTTTAGGCTTCTCGAGCTTGAGTAAGTAAAAATCATAACAGATTGGCAAACCACTCCTGCCATTGGACGAAAAATAAAAATAAATCAGCTTTTTTGTTTCCATGACTACGAACCCAGTTTTCAGAGCAAGTTTGACGAATCCCTTGCGCCGATTCAGTACCAGCTGATACCAAGATGGGCTCGTGTAAAGAACCTCTGACGAACCGCCGATCAGCGTCACTACACACTGTCCAGATCCTTCATTAGTGAGCACGTATTCCAGGCTGTCACGTGATACGCTGATCATCCCAGCAGCCATTGCGAACTCGCGAAATCCAGGAAACCATCCAAAGACTATAAGGGAAAAGTAGGACCGGGGTTAATTAACGATTATTGGCCTCAGGCTCAGTGAATACAGGGGAATATTTACCGAGACGCGAGTCTTTTTAAGGTCTTAAAACAAGTCAATTTAATAGATAACGGAGAGAGAGGTTTTTTTTACAAATCTTATTTATCTCTGCAAGCAACACACATGGACAAACGAGCGTGCGCTGCGCGTTATATTCCCCTGTAGGTAAACATATATAGCAGCATAAGACGTAAATTGTGACCAATGAACGCGCCGGATTTATTATATTCACTTGCGTAAAAATACTAAAAAGCGATACTGATAGATAAAACAATATTTAGAAGAGTATTTAGTAAAAAATCCCAGTAATAAGATGTATAGAGGATAATAGAGATACGGGGTGCTTTCCATTTACGCGGAAAAACCGGAAATTCCAGTTGGAAAAGCAAATAGTATGTGTCATTCCCATAGGAGAAATCCGGAAAACGAGCACTTCAAATTGAGTTTTTTTTCTATTTTTCCCGCTCTTTTCTGTTCTTCCAGTAGACGCGTGTACAAACTGTCGGAATTGTCAAATTTTCCCGCCCTTTTCTTAACATTGGCAAACAAATTTCCAAACGGATGGATCGATGGATTCATCTTCTCGTGTCGAGAATATCTTACTCGTTCCCTGCGCTCACCCGTTAGATATGACCTCAATTACACTCGAAGATGAAATTCGTATCTCAAAGCGGCCATGTAATATGATTCTTTTCAACGCATAAATTCGAAAAATGATATTTCATAGAGAGAACAAGGTCATTTATTGTCGAAACGAATACCCAAGGACGTTCTCGTCTAACGATCAGTGTCGGTGAAAATACTATGAAAATTGATTGTGCAAATTAGAGGAAATAAGATAACAATAATGATGATAATAATGATGGTAATAATAATGATAATAATGATAATAATAATAGTAATAACTATATGTAATAGGACTCCATGCTGTCCAATTAAGAAATAATTGGACGAGGAAAATTTCGAGGACTGACAAAATTCGATGAGGCCGTAGGCCGAGTCCAAGTTGGCAGTCAAAGGAATTTTTCGAGTCTAATTATTTCTTGATTGGGGATCCATTGAAATCCATTACCTTCCATTAACATGCGATACTCTTACATAATAATTCTATTGCATAATCTAGCCGTGTTTGAAGACTTTGTTTAATTAATCAGGGTGACATGTGACAGTAATTTTGTTAACTGATTAAACTAGTACTTGTGGCCCTCGAGTTTTTTTTTACCACCGGAACTGAAGATGGTCGTCACCAGCATCAAGTACTTACCTCTGTATAAAGCGGACGTAAAAGACCCATTGAAAATGGTCGTCACCAGCAGATATAATTACAAAGAAAAAAAAATTCCTCAGTTATTTTAAGACCGAGGCTTGAACCACGACCTTCCGCACAACAGGCCGACGCTCTTACCAGCTGAGCTAACCGGAATGCTTTCCTTACGTTAAAAGCAAGTTGTTCTGTAGTCTCATCTTACACGAATATTTACAATGTAAATGTTTGTTTATCAGGCTCTATGGGGTCACCAAAAACACAACAACAATAATGATAATAATGAGAGGAAGACGAATCGTTGCGTTTTTTATCCTCTTGGTCCATTGGTAAGAACCGCAGTTTCAATAGGGAATGTGTACGAGCACGAATCTCTAGCAGAAAGCATGTTGGGAAACCGAGTACTAGACAAATCAGAATAAGGATAGCGAAAAAAATACTCTTTTATTTTCTTCTGTTGAAATACTTACAGTTTCATAGAAAATGTCGAAGGAAAAATTGTCAGAGGGATTTTTAGAGGAGCTGAAAAACCGTTAAGTACTCGATTTACTATCACGCTTTGTGCTAGAGATTCGTGCTCGTGCACATTGACTATTATCGTGCTGTTAGAAGATTCAGCAGCTAGGCTTCTGTAACGAGAGATTTAAAGATTTCCTGTCATAATGAATAGACTTTGTTGTTCCCTGTGTGAGTATCGCAGTATAAATACTGTGGTGTTGTTAGAGGATTTGGCGGCTAGGCTTCTGTCACGAGAGTTAAAGATTTCCTGTCATAATGAATAGACTTTGTTGTTTCATGATCATTTTAGCCGCAATTTCTCCCCCCGCCCCCCAAACTTGTTTTTCTGGGTTGTTTTTTTTTTTTTTTCTTTTCTTTTCTTTTTTTTACAAATAATATAATACAGAATAACACGTACCTGAGTGCATCGCGACTCGTGACATTAATCCCGGAAATAGTTGCCCAAAACCAGCAGCTTCTGAACCAAAACAAACGAGTGCTCCATCAGGGAGCATACCATGTGGATGGTAGCCAAGAATGTAGTTCTTGTTCGAGTCGAGCTCGGTTGTTTTGACCAGAGTGATTGGGAAGTAGTCTCGTATGATGTTAAATATTCTCCATCTTTTAACAAAGCAGTATTTGAATGGCCTTCCTCCTTTAGAAGGGGTGTCCCAGTCGTACCACAGCCACATCGAGTAAAACAAAAGGAAAGGCCAGAATAGAGGATAAGATGCTGCTATAACAATGATTGTTATGGAAAATAATGAGGTCAGTCCTGTCCATACCAGTGAATAAACCAGTCGAAGACAGACGGACTCCAAAAGTTCTTTCAATACGTTCTTCATCCAGGCAATTATCGTCTTGAATCTTTGGAAAAAAGTACTTCAATGTATCATTTTTTTCCGTAGAAATTGTTTTTTTTTTTTTTTCTTTGTAAAACATGTACATCTTGAAAAAAGGTCAGACACAGACCAGACCGCCAGTCGATAAGGTGTTCCTTTATCATGGGTTAGTGAGCTCCACTTATTCGACTGTTGACTCGATTGAATCATATGGTGCCAATACTCGAGGATTTGATATCTAGCTCCTGGCCCGCTGACAGATGTTTTTAACATTAGAGAGTTTTAGATTGACTTTTTCTCCCCGCAAACGGCAAACGTGACCACGTTTTCATCGTTTTCCGGTATTTTACTTTACCTTTTACAAACCTTCTCACCAAGCGCAAATACTCTTTTGTTTTTCTACTACTTGGACTTTTTTGCGATTCTTTTTCAGTAATTTAAAAGAATTTTTTACTGGTCAACTGACGTTTCACGTTTGCCGTGAACGTAAATCTAAAACTCTCTATTATCTCGGTATTACGTAATTTCGTCTAACACATGACTTCACTTGTTTTTATTTAGCTACGAATTCTAGAGCTCGGATCAACATCCCTTTTACTTGTGCTAAGATCCCCCCCAAAAAACATGAAAGATGAAATTAAAAAGCGTTTAAAAAGTTTGTTCCCAAAAATATCGACCCCGTTTGAGCTGCGCCACGTACGGGCTGTACTTGGGGTGGTGATTAGCGACGACGAGTTATATTTTTAAATATTGAACTCGGCTCTACATCGAAGGGATGCAGAGATGTAACTCTAGTACCCCGTTCACACTAGAGGGATATGCCCGTGAAGCGAAGCTGTAAGCGGCTGTACAGTGCGTTGCCCAATATTGTGCCACTTCAAGTTGTAATGCCGACTATTTTTTCTGTACACTAGCCCCCACTATTCTGATAATGTTATGTTTTTTCACAACAAATCAAATTTATCTGTTATACTATATAGACAATCTTATTGAAATCCTAACAAATTATTAAAAAAAGTAATTGTAAAATCAATTAATTGTAAAGTAATGAATTTTGAATTTTCCGACAGCAACTAGATGCCCAGTTTCGTGCCACCGGTTCTAGTTGCTCGCCACTGCGAAGAAGGGTGATTTTTGACAAACAATAAGCAATAAATTGAGATAAATCTCACTAGAGTGGTTATATTTGACCTGTAACACAAAATTTTATAATACACGACTAACAGGCAAAGTAAAACAAAAGAAAGCAATGGAGTTAAATCTTAATATACTGAATTAATAAGTATCATCACTCTATAATCCCATATAATCAGCTGTTGTATTATTTTCAAATTCTTTTTGTTTACATTCGCATTGTTTCTTCATTCTTTCTTTAGTCTAGTATAGTTTGGGATGATATAATTAATCTGCAATAAGACTACATGCCTGTCCAATTCGGAAATAATTGAATTCAAAAAATTCCTCTGACTGCCAAAATTAGACTCTTCTAATTTTGTCATGTCGGAATTTTTTTCATCCAATTATTTCCAAATTGGACAGCATGTAGTCTTATTACCTATAGCAATTACTTAATATTATTAACTTTGTACGACAAGTAGAGTTAGGACATTTAACCCGTGAAATAAAAATCATTAGTCAAAGTGTAATARAGTGAAATCCGTGAAACTTTAGTAATACTAAATAGCACAATTTCATGCAAATTCCATCGCTTTCTTTTTTTAGGTAGCACTATTTTGTACTATTTAGTAATTAGTGTTTCACGGATTTACTGTGGTCACTCTACTCAAATAGACACAAAATAAAACAATGAACTTAAGGTCTACTTAAATATGGTAGTCTAATATTAATTTATCTTCAATTTAGATTTTGAGCCATTTCTTTGAAATTACAGGACTTAAGACCCCATCTTCAAGCGCTATTCATTTCACTGCACAAAAAAATCTCGTGAATTTGAGCCGTAGATAAAATAAACTCACCTGACTATAATGCTGCCTCGTCGGCTTCTCAGTATATCAAAAAGGCTGCCAATTATGCATTCGGAAGCTGTAATGCTTAGCTTTCTTTTCTTCGATTTTCGGAAATGATAATTAGTGGTCGCGAAATTTGAACCTTATAGTTTTGGCACGAGACTGGTATCGGCAAGTCCGCGATCATGAATACTTCTTTCAAGTACCCATAATAGGACGTTTGCATGATGGCGTCATTTGACTCCCACTACCATAATGCTTCGCAAATATTCTTTTTTTATTTAAATTTGTATTCCCTCGTGAGAATAGTAAGACAATCGTAAAATGTTGCTCTTAAAACATCTACCAAACTCAGGCCCCGTCCACACTATGCCGGATAAATTTGAATCCGCAACTTTCACACCGAAACCGAAAAAAAAAGTTTTCCGTCCACACATGAAAATGGATAAAATGTTTCGCGTCCACACTATTCCGATCAGAGGCGGCAAAAACGCTTCTTTGCACATCTGTGCATTTTTTCATCGAAGCTGAAATTGAACCCGCTGTGAATTTTTAGCCTTCCCGCCATGTTCCCATGACAATCATGACGTCATCGTATTCGAGAAATTTCGGATACGAAATGTTCTCCGTCCACACTAATGCGGCTAGCCTGCGCTCCACTCTGGAGACCGTATTCGAAAACATTCGTTTTCGCCCGGACTAGTGTGGACGGTAGGCCTAACCGAATAAATAAAAAAATTATCCGGCATAGTGTGGACGGGGCCTTACCCGACTCACGAAAACAAATGTATTTTTGTGGAGCTACCCTTGCCTCGCCCTGCAGATATTCATTCCAAATTTCAAGCATTCTTTACATGTGATTTAAGATACTATTTACACTCTGAAATGATACATATGTAATTACTTTTAGGTTATGAACTTAAGGTCTTTCCCTACGTTAAAAGTTACGAGTAAAGGCTTTATGCGTGTTGCGTTACTCCTCATTTTGACATTGTGGCGGGGCAGACACTAGAGAAAAACGTTTGCGCATGCGTGCACTTCAGCACGTTTTCTAAGAATTTTGAAGAGTTTGAGTGAGAAAATAAATGTTTGTTTTCTCCAAGTATACGAAAAAGTTCGAGAGTATACTTGTGTCAGACCAGGATATTGTATTAACAAACACAATATGAAAAAATTAGTATTAAAGTGCCTATGACCCCTAACTCCATGTTTTCAGCATTGATTCTACATGAAGTTAAAAATTAAATAGTAAAATATTTGTATATGATTTGAGTGATGCATCTTGGAGATATCAAGGTTTATACTTCCAGTATGCTAATGAGTGTGATGTCATAGGAGGCATTATAAATATACGAAAATTTAGGGGTCATAGGCACTTTAAGTTTCAAGCATGGACACTAAGTTTTGGCATTTGGTGAAGTCCAATTTATCAGGCATGTTTGAGAGTCAATTTTACTTATGTTTTGATTAATTACTGGGATACCTGTGATGTCCCAGTCTTTAAATGCGTTTGTTTTTTTCCCCTGTATTCGACAAGTTGCGCAATAGTACCCGTGGCTCATTGCTCGATACCATGACAACGAACAGTCCAATCAGGTTGAAGTAGTGTTGTGTCGGAATGATCAATACTTGTGATTGACAGGATCACCTGACAACCAACGGTCCAATCAGGGTAAATTAGCATAATTTAAAATCCTTAATTCCTCTTGGTTCATGTTATGATATTATGTTGTGTTCACGCGACTCTCTCGTGGGCTTATTTCTATGTTATGTTGACTTCAACACAAGCTACCATGAATAGCTTCGGTGAGTGTGATTTATTTGAGAAAGCCGCCCAATTATCTGTTTTTCTACGCGATAATAACGAGTCATTAKCAATAAAGAAATGTAGATCTCGATACGAGAAAGTTGTTTATTTTAGTCATTGCATTCGTACACGTGCTGTTTGTGGGGCTTTTGCAAAATGTTACTGTTTGTTTTATGGTCGTCGTGCTAAAAGACATTGCTTTTTTTTTACGTGTATTCTTACACCGAACTGGTAAAAGGTTTTTTCATAAAGAATTAAATTTTTCCTTGCCCACATTTATTCTTTATTTATTCTTTATTCTTTGTTACTTTTCTTTATTCTATAAATCACTGACCATTTACTACTTTTGCAAAAAGTTGCCACATCCTTGGGCATGCGCATCGATCCGCGAAATAAAGAAATTATACTCTTGGGAACGACACGTGGTCTAAAATGGGAAACTATTAAACGACCAAGCCGAAGAGATCTATTGCTACATCGGTGTCCCAGATTACGTAGCCAGATTACTCTACAGCGCAACACGATTCAGTCTTCATCCAGAATTAATTGAGTGTCTTTGTGAACGCCATACTGCACTTTGTGTTTGTCAAACAACTCCTTCAACTCATCGACATACGCGGAGTGAAGTTCGTCTATCTCATCATAAGTTGGGAAAGCTACTTTTTCGACTTCAATTGGCGCTCCAACTGGTAAAGGACAAGAAAGATTAATTAGATAACATGAGACAGAGTTGTAGACAGTATACGTAGTCGATGTGTTTGGGAATCTAGTGCACTCGTCCCTCAACCCTTGGGATGTCGGGATCGATTCCGGGACTCGGCATGAAATGTAAGTATAGTTTTTTAGTTCTCTTCCTTGATTCAACAAGGATTCGAGGGTTTTAATTTTCTCCGGGTTTTCAGGATTTGCTCTCCATCAAAACTCAACCCTGACTTAAATCGACCCAGAGGTTCAGTTTCAGGGTTCAATCTGTGAGTTAGCCATGCCCTGACTTAGATCAGCCCAGAGGTTGTTTCAGGGTTTGATCTGAGTTAGCCATGCCCTGACTTAGATCAGCCCAGAGGTTGNGACTTAGATCAGCCCAGAGGTTGTTTCAGGGTTTGATCTGAGTTAGCCATGCCCTGACTTAGATCAGCCCAGAGGTTGTTTCAGGGTTTGATCTGTGAGTTGACCATGCCCTGACTTAGATCAGCCCAGGGGTTGTTTTAGGGTTCGAGATACTTGCCAATGACAGTGATTGGCGCTCTTCTTGGTATGATACCAAAGGTACTGACATCATGAATAATCAGCGTTGTAAACTTAAGCATCACCCTAAGCCATAGTGTAAAAATTTCTCCTAATCTCGAAGGCAAGGAAGAGCGAGGTTGGTGAAACATGTCGTTCTGACCAAACGCGAATACAGGGACGAGAGACGATCTACGTGAAGACAAAATTTAACGTTATTTTAGCCATGAATAGTACTTTCTGGGAAAGATTTAACTGAAATTTATGATTTCGGCAAAATTATTAAACAGAGACTTATTAAACAGAGCACCATCATGTAATGGCAGCCATGAGGCAGGAACGATTTAATCAGGTCTGATCTGATTTACATGAGAAAGAATTTAGTTTGCCAGGTGGAAAAGACTCTATTGTTGTGCCTCCTGTCGTGGCTGCTGCCATCAAGTTTTGGTGCAAAGCTTCTATGTAAAAGAAAAGATCCGGAGAGGGTGAGTTAAGTTGGGAGAACCAAGATAAAGTTTTTTTTCGCCATACCCTGTTTCCAGTGCAAGTTTAGCAAATCCTTTCCGTCTGTTCAGCACCAGATGGTACGAGGAGGGACTGGTGTTCAGCACTTCTCTCGTTCCTCCTATCACATCCACTACAGCGTATCCTTTGTCTTTCTGATCTAGCACGTACTCCAGGCTGTCACGTGACACGCTGATGATCCCAGTCGCCATCACGAGCTCACGAAATATGGGGTATTTCCTGAAGACTGAAAGAAAATGAAAGGAAAATCTTGGTATAATGGACAAGGCCTCATTCCTACACAGAGGACTGAGCAAACAAGTTTTTAATTAAAGTTAACTGATTTTATGTTTCGATATTTAAAGCTTTCAATAATAGTAGGCTTTAACTTTTAGCCTAATAGTAGCTCATCCAATCAGAATGCAGCATTGATGATGACCACTGGTTGGATTTGACTAATAGAAAATAGAACGAGGCCGTAACACTATATATATATTTTTCTATTTTCATTTGTTCTTTAAACAACTCAGGATTTTCCTTCTTGTCTATGACGTCACGCAATCATCAGTCAGAGTTTCAGTTGTTAACTTTGGCAACAATTTGTCCCAACACAGCGGGGAACCAAAATCCTAAGTCGTATAAAGCTCCTCATCGGAGTTTTGCCTCGTTCACATAAGCTAACCATATTACACTTACATGAAATCATTGCCAAACGAGGCTTGATTCCCGGAAATAGTCGCCCAAAACCAGCAGCTTCTGAACCAAAACAAACGAGTGCTCCATCAGGGAGCATACCGTGTGGATGGTAGCCAAGAATGTAGTTCTTGTTCGGGTCGAGCTCGGTCGTTTTGACCAGAGTGATTGGGAAGTAGTCTCGTATAATGTTAAATATTCTCCATCTTCTAACAAAACAGTATTTGAATGGTCTTCCTCCTTTAGAAGGGGTGTCCCAGTCGTACCACAGCCAAACCGGGTAAAACAAAAGGAAGGGCCAGAATAGAGGACATAGCAAAGCGAGTATGAAGAGTACACCTGACAAGACGTATGTGGTCCCAGAAAATGTAATGACATACACCAGTGCCAGACTTAATCGTTCACTTATCGATGCTGGAGCTCGATTATCATTCATTTTTACCCTGCAATATGAGCGACAATACATTGTTTCAAAATACGTGTATGCTTTGAAGTCTGTAAATATAATACTATAAACCGTGTCGGGCGCGTCGACCATGTGATGTTTACACAATGTTCCATGCATCATGGCTTTGTTTTCACTACAAATGTTAACTTGCGTAAAATTCCTGGAGGTGTTTTAATCCGACGCCCACCTCAGTTTCAAGAATGACACTGTGATTTGCCCATTTATTTGGTAGGACAACTTAAACCATCTTGCTAGGTAGTTTAACTTTGCCTTATTTCCGGTGTCGTAATTAAGGAGGCTCGAAACGGTATTTCTTGAGCGCGCGCGCTCTATAAATTTTAATATTCAAAATGAAAAAAATCAAAAACTCTGTGGTGAAATTCCTTCAAATTTTGCATATGGCTCTTTAGTTTATGTTTTCGAAAACTTAAGGAAAAATTTTAAAAATTCTATAAGAGGGAACTATTCCAAACAAATTTTATTGATTTTTACGAATTTCCTCTTACAGA